TGTTCTACTGATATTTTTGTTCAAAATTTTCTCCATCACTCTCACACAGGTCACTGTGTGTACTCACCTAGTTGTGCTTGCGCGGGTTGAGCTTAGGCTCTTTGGCTCCACCTTTTAACTGTCAATCAACTGATGTACAGATTCGTGAAACTACTGGACTCAATCAAATCTACATTTGAGACTGTGAATGGAGTCTGCCTCCACCACTTCACTGCCTAATGCATTCAAATTGTTAACTATTATGACACTGAAAGAGTTCTTTCCATTGTCTCTGTGGCTCCTTTGGGTTGACCGCCTCTCAACGGTCAATCAGCTAATGTACAGGTTCCTGAGCCTACTGGGCTCTATCATATCTACACTTAAAGCTGTGTATAGAGTCAGCCTCTACCACATCACTTCCTAAGGCATTCCATTTGTCTACTACTCTGACACTGAAAAATTTCTTTCTAACGTCTCTATGGCTCATTTGGGCACTCAATTTCCACCTGTGTCCCCTAGTGCGTGTGCCCCTTGCGTTAAAAAGTCTGTCTTTATCTACCCTTTATCTACCCTGTTTTTATCTATCTGGGAGCCGGCCGGACGGCCGACCGGACAGCACGCTGGACACGTGATCCTGTAGTCCCGGGTTCGATCCCGAGCACCGGCGAGAAACGATGGGCAGAGTTTCTTTCACCCTATGCTCCTGTTACCTAGCAGTAAATAGGTACCTAGGTTAACAGTTGACAGTTGACAGTTAGTCAACTGTCACGGGCTGCTTCCTGGAGGTGGAGGCTTTAGTGTCCCCGCGGCCTGGTTGAGGACCGGGCCGCGGGGACGCTAAAGCCCCGAAATCAACTCAAGATAACCCTATCATTACCTCTGAAAATCTTGTATGTGGTGATCATGTCCCCTCTAACTCTTCTGTTTCCCAGTGACGTGAGGTTTAATTCCCGTAGTCTCTCCTCGTAGCTCATACCCCTCAGTTCGGGTACTAGTCTGGTGGCAAACCTTTGAACCTTTTCCAGTTTAGCCTTATGCTTGACTAGATATGGGCTCCATGCTGGGGCCGCATACTCGAAGATTGTTCTGACATATGTGGTATATAATGTTCTGAAAGATTCCTTACACAAGTTTCTAAAGGGCGTTCTTATGTTAGCCAACCTGGCATATGCCGCTGATGATATCCTCTTGATGTGAGCTTCAGGTGACAGGTCTGGCGTGATATCAACCCCCAGGTCTTTCTCTCCCTCTCTGACTCTTGAAGTATTTCATCTCCCAAATGATGCCTTGTATCTACGGGAGATGAACCTCACATCCCTGGAAAACTGAAGAGTAAGGGGAGTTGCCACCAGACACACTGTGTGCGTGTGTGCTCACCTAGTTGTACTCACCTAGTTGTGCTTGCAGGGGTTGAATTCTGGCTCTTTGGTCCCGCCTATCAACTGTTAATCAACTGGTGTACAGATTCCTGAGCCTACTGGGCTCTATCAAATCTACATTTGAAATAGTGTATGGAGTCTGCTTCCACCACATCACTACTTAATGCATTCCATTTGTTAACTACTCTGACACTGAAAAAATTCTTTCTAATGTCTCAGTGGCCCATCTGGGTACTAAGTTTACCCTTGTTCGTGTTCCACTCGTTCTAAAGGGTTTGTTTTTGTCCACCCTGGGGCCTCGTAGCCTGGTGGATAGCGTGCAGGACTCGTAATTCTGTGGCGCGGGTTCGATTCCCGCACGAGGCAGAAACAAATGGGCAAAGTTTCTTTCACCCTATGCTCCTGTTACCTAGCAGTAAAATCGGTACCTGGGTGTTAGTCAGCTGTCACGGGCTGCTTCCTGAGGGTGCAGGCCTGGTCGAGGACCGGGCCGCGGGGACACTAAAGCCCCGAAATCATCTCAAGATAACCTCAAGATAACCCTGTCAATTCCCCTGAGAATTTTGTAGTTGGTTTTCATGTCTCCCCTTATTCTTCTGTTTTCCAAGGATGTGAGGTTAATCTTCCTTAGCCTTTCCTCGTAACTCATACCTCTCAGTTCCGGGACCAGTCTGGTGGCATATCTCTGAATCTTCTCTAACTTTGATTTGTGTTTAACTAGGTATGGACTCCAGGCTTGAGCTGCATACTCCAGGATTGGTCTTACATAAGTGGTATACAAGGTCCTGAACGATTCTTTACACAAGTTTCTAAAGGCAGTTCTCATTTTTCACCAGTCTAGCATATGCCGCTGATGATATCCTTTTGATGTGGGTCCTCTGGGGACAGGTTCGGTGTGATATCAACCCCTAGATCTTTCTCTCTGTTTGACTCTTGTAGGATATGACCTCCAAATGGTACATTGAATTCAGCCTCCTGTTCCCTTCGCCTAATTTCATTACTTTACACTTTCCTGCGTTGAACTATAGTAGCCATTTTCTAGACCATTCCACCAGTTTATCCAGGTCGTCCTGTAGTCTCTGTCTATCTTCATCTCTCTTGATTCTTCTCATAATTTTTGCATCATCAGCAAACATGGAGAGGAATGAGTCTATACCCGCTGGAAGATCGCTTACATATATTAGAAACAGAATGGGTCCAAGTACAGAGCCCTGTGGGACTCCGCTGGTGACATCTCGCCACTCTGATGCCTGTGTGTGTGTGTACTCACCTATTTGTGCTTGCGGGGGTTGAGCTTTGGCTCTTTCGTCCCTCCTCTCAACTGTCAATCAACTGGTGTACAGATTCTTGAGCCTACTGGGCTCTGTCATATTTACATTTGAAATTGTGTATGGAGTCAGCCTCCACCACATCATTTCCTAATGCATTCCACCTGTTAACTACTCTGACACTGAAAAAGTTCCTTCTAACATCTCTGTGGCTCATGTGGGTACTCAGTTTCCACCTGTGTCCCCTTGTTCGCGTCCCACCAGTGTTGAATAGTTTATCTTTGTTTACCCGGTCGATTACCCTGAAGACTTTGTAGGTATTGATCATGTCTTCCATTACTCTTCTGTCTTCCACTGTCGTAAGGTGCATTTACCGCAGCCTTCCCTCGTAACTCATGCCTCTTAGTTCTGGGACTAGTCTAGTGGCATACCTTTGAACTTTTTCGAGCTTCGTCTTTTGCTTGACAAGGTACGGGCTCCATGCTGGGGCCGCATACTTCAGGATTGGTCTTACATATTTGGTGTACAAGATTCTGAATGATTCCTTACACAGGTTCCTCAACGCTGTTCTGATGTTAGCCAGCCTCGCATATGCCGCCTACGTTTTTCTTTACGTGGGCTTCAGGAGACAGGTTTGGTGTGATATCAACTCCTAGATCTTTCTCTCTGTCCATTTCATTAAGTACTTCATCTCCTATTCTGTAACCTGTGTCTGGCCTCCTGTTTCCACTGCCTAGTTCATTAATTTGCATTTACTCGGGTTGAACTTCAACAGCCATTTGTTGGACCATTCACACAGTCTGTCTAGGTCATCTTGTAGCCTCCTACTATCATCCTCAGTTTCAATCCTCCTCATAATTTTTGCATCATAAGCAAACATTGAGAGAAACGAGTCTATACCCTCTGAGAGATCATTTACATATATCAGAAACAGTATAGGTCCAATAACTGACCCCTGCGGGACTCCACTTGTAACGTCTCGCCAATGTGAGACCTCACCCCTGACACTGACTCGTCGTCTCCTGTTGCTTAGGTACTCCTTTATCCAATGGAGTACGTTCCTTTTCACTCCAGCCTGCATCTGCAGCTTTTTCACTAGCCTCTTGTGTGGTACTGTATCAAAGGCTTTCTGGCAATTCAAAAATATGCAGTCTGCCCACCTTCTTTTTATTTCCTCGTCATAGAGTTCAAGTAACCCTGAGATTCAGGACCTGCCATCCCTGAACCCATGTTGATGCTGTGTTACAAAGTTCTTTCGCTTCAGTTGTTCCACTAGCTTTCTTTGCACAATCTTCTCTATCAGCGTGCAATGGTATGCAGGTTTGGGACACTGGCCTGTAGTTCAGTGCCCCCTGTCTATCCCATTTCTTGTATATCGGGACTACGTTAGCTGCTTTCTAAATTTCTGGCAGTTCCTCTGTTGCCAGTGATTTGTTATACACTATGGAGAGTGGCAGGCACAGTTCTTCTGCTCCTTCCTTTAGTATCCAAGGGGATATTCCATCTGGGCCTATAGCCTTTGTCACATCCAACTTTAGTAAACACTTCCTTACTTCCCCACTGCTAATCCTGGAATGTTTGTGTGTGTGTGTGTGACTATGTTTAGGTAAAAATCCTTGATGAATAATGTGAAAATGTTTAACCAAAAAGCAAAACGAATCATGAAATATTTGAATGCTCTGGTGTATTCCAACACATTTTCAAGTTCTTCATACAATAATCTAAACCAAATATGTACTTGAAGAAATTCTTTTAAGTCTCAACACCTCAAACGACTGATCTCTCTCACGTTCTGTAATTTCAGTGTATACAAATGAGAGCAATTCAACAGTGGATATATCAGACTGGTATAATTCAACAGTCTGTTATATGCACAGACTAGTATAAGAGGTGATCTTTAATGCCTATGTTGTGGTTAGGGTGGAAGGTCAGGCGGTCATGTACAATATTCATGGGGCTGTCACCTTGCCCAAGCTACGGTAATGGGGTAAAAGAAATTAAGATACAGTTAAATATTCAGAGAGAAATTAACCTATTCATTAACATATTTATAAAGTGGTTATTTCACACCTGGTTCTGAGAGACAGTTATTTCATTGATCTTACTGAGAAAACTAACGGGAGTTCTAACCTAAGCTCCAGTTAATTTTCTCGTTGACAGATATCACGTCTATGTGATGTCTCTGTGTAAATTATCTTTCTGTTATCAACTTTGCAATATTTGTGTTGCAACAATGATATATGAGAGCCGTAATGTTGCCACACTCGTGAATGTGTTGTCCTCTTATGCTCGTGTCGGTGTCGTCATAACTTGTTCAGCACTTCTTGTTGTTGTTGTTGTTGTTCACAACGTGTGTCGTACTTGTCCTTGTTTTTTAAACAGGTTCTGTACTCGGTGTTTTCAACTCCTTTTCTTTGCACTTTTCGTTGGCTTTACACATTGTTTTGTGTTGGTCGTTGTCTTCACAAAGTGTTATGAACTTGTCGTTGTCTTCACAAAGTGTTGTGAACGTGTCGTTGTCTTCACAAAGTGTTGTGAACTTGTCGTTGTCTTCACAAAGTGTTGTGAACGTGTCGTTGTCTTCACAAAGTGCTGTGAACGTGTCGTTGTCTTCACAAAGTGTTATGAACGTGTCGTTGTCTTCACAAAGTGTTATGAACGTGTCGTTGTCTTCACAAAGTGTTGTGAACGTGTCGTTGTCTTCACAAAGTGTTATGAACTTGTCGTTGCCTTCACAAAGTGTTGTGAACTTGTCGTTGTCTTCACAAAGTGTTATGAACTTGTCGTTGTCTTCACAAAGTGTTGTGAACTTGTCGTTGTCTTCACAAAGTGTTGTGAACGTGTCGTTGTCTTCACAAAGTGTTGTGAACGTGTCGTTGTCTTCAGAAAGTGTTGTGAACTTGTCGTTGTCTTCACAAAGTGTTGTGAACGTGTCGTTGTCTTCACAAAGTGTTGTGAACGTGTCGTTGTCTTCACAAAGTGTTGTGAACGTGTCGTTGTCTTCACAAAGTGTTGTGAACGTGTCGTTGTCTTCACAAAGTGTTGTGAACGTGTCGTTGTCTTCTCAAAGTGTTGTGTACTTTACAGAACGTGAGAGAGATCAGTCGTTTGAGGTGTTGAGACTTAATAGAATTTCTTCAAGTACATATTTGGTTTAGATTATTGGATGGACAAGTAATTTGAAAATGTGTTGGAATAAGGGATAAGAGCCTCGTTGGACGTAGAATCGCTGTTTACCAACGTACCTGTGGACGAGACAATCGGGATGATAGCCGACAGAGTGTATCGTGATCCGGCCTGCACTCCTCTTGACATACCAGAAAACATTCTGAGGAAACTACTTCAAGCTTGTACTAAAGAGAAACCCTTCTTGAGCCCGGATGGGCACATGTATAAGCAAGTAGATGGGGTCGCCATGGGTTCTTCCCTAGGTGTACTGTTTGCAAACTTCTACATGGGTACCATCGAGCAAAAAGTCTTAGTCGAAATGAACTTGAAACCGGCCATATACTACAGGTATGTTGACGACATTTTTACACAGGTACCTGATGTCAGACATCTGCAGGAGCTGAAGGAGGCATTTGAGCAGAGTTCCGTGCTGCGTTTCCCTTACGAGATGGAAAAGGATGGGAAGCTGCCCTTTCTAGATGTAACAGTCATGGAAAAGAGCAGAGGTTTCCACACTGCAGTCTACACTAAGGAAACGAACATAGGAATGTGCCTAAATGCCAACAGCGACTGCCCAGACAGGTACAAGAGGAGTGTTGTTAACGCTTATGTCAACCGTGCTCTCAGCCACAGCTCAGAATGGAAGCAAGTCGACGAACTCTGTAGGGTAAGGCAGGTCCTAGTCAACAACGGCTTCTCCAATGGTTTCGTCGAAGACATCATTAGAAAGAAAGTGAAACGCCATGCAACCTCTGAAGAGACATCTAACACAACACCTATACCCCCTATTAGACTATTTTACAGGAACTTCTTTTCCACAGCTCATAAAACGGAGGAAAGGGTCCTGAAAGATATTGTTAATAGGAACGTTATCCCCACAGACAAAAATCAGAGGATACAACTGACGATTTACTGTAAAACCAGAAAAACGGTCAGCCTACTCATGAGAAACTCTCCAGACACAAAGCAGAACGCTTTAAAAGAGACCAACGTCGTCTATGCCTTCAAATGCCCTCTTGGGGACTGTAAGCTCCAAAAAAAACAGTATATAGGCAAGACAACAACATCTCTTTCTAGGCGTTTAACGATGCATAAGCAACAGGGCTCCATTAAGGAACATATAATCTCTTCCCACAACCAAACCATCGCCAGAGAAATCCTAGTAAACAACACAGAAATCATTGATAGATACAGCGATAGCAGGCGGCTTGACGTCTGCGAGGCTCTACACATCAACAAGTCAACACCAGCAATCAACAGCCAATTAATGCACAAATATATTCTACCCACCTCAAGACTCCGCTCCAATATAGAAGCATCAAGAAATATGGACCAATAGGCTTTCTACAAATCACTTCCATTCAATACCCATTGTTTCGTGTTCTGTCTTGTGTTTAGGAATTTAATATCCTATTAAAACCACCTCACCCCATCCACCTCACTCAAATGTAGATATAAACAAATCGAAGATGTGTAAGTTCTATTCAGTTGTGTATGTGTAAGCTAAAGTCTTTGAAAATGTAATAAGTTTTACGAAACGCGCTCAAGTGTCGCGTCAGACTAGAAATAAAAAATGAATTTTGGAGAATTGATTTTTGAATTACCACCAACAGTGAAAAGAAACGTACGAAAGATCGAGAAAATTCGTGTTAGAATTATTAATCTTACTTTTTCGGTCATATTTAATAATATATATATATATATATATATATATATATATATATATATATATATATATATATATATATATATATATATATATATATATATATATATGTCGTACCTAGTAGCCAGAATGCACTTTTTGGACTACTATGCAAGGCCCAATTTGCCTAATAAGCCAAGTTTTCCTGAATTAATATATTTCCTCAAATTTTTTTGTTATGAAATGATAAAGCTACCCATTTCATTATGTATGAGGTAAATTTTTTTTTATTGGAGTTAAAATTAACGTAGATATATGACCGAACCTAACCAACCCTACCTAACCTAACCTAACCTATCTTTATAGGTTAGGTTAGGTTAGGTAGCCGAAAAAGTTAGGTTAGGTTAGGTTAGGTAGTCGGAAAAAAAAATTAATTCATGAAAACTTGGCTTATTAGGCAATTCGGGCCTTGCATAGTAGGCTGAGAAGTGAGTTCTGGCTACTAGGTACGACATATATATATATATATATATATATATATATATATATATATATATATATATATATATATATATATATATATATATTTTTTTTTTAATATAGAAGGGAGTACCACCTCTAGCTGGAAGAAGGGGGACCCATAGCCTCGGAGGAAACCAAGCATAACGCATTAGAGGGAATGTTTAGATCCCTTCCAATACAGTTTCTGTGTGCTTTTCTCCTACCACCCCCTTCCTTTTTTATTTTTTGTGCTTTATTATGCATTTGATGGTTACAAGATATACATGGGTTGATTCAAAAATAATAATGCAAAAAGGTGCTTAAAGGTTATGGATCTCTTGAAAAACACAACAATGGGAAACATTGATGAATGTCACAGACGGGTTCGATCATTGTTGCAAGTCAAACACTTCTTCGAATTCCTCTGAAGTTCGACTAGTGCCCAAGACGCAACAGGCATTTCCCCTCTGAATCGCAACACTGAGGCGCTGGAACAAGAAACTTTTTGCTCTCTGGTCTTTTGTAGCACTGATCAATTTGTCCCCCAATTCCTTCAGGAACTTCAATGCACATTTTCCCCATGAACCGAGGGTATCCGAGCCGATCGGAACAAAGCTGTAGCAGTGTGCTAGACCTCTGTATTTAATAATTTTCTGCGATTCCCTGAAAGAAGCAGCACCACCGCTTTCACGTGTGCTGTAGTGGAGGTAGGTACTGGCCAGTGTGGCAGCGCACGTGTAGTCCCATACCACTTGCTTACCATCCTTCCAAGGTAGCAAGGTGACCCCATCAGGGCGCTTCTGAGGGTCGTTAGGTCTGGATAAGTGTGGTTCTCTTTGTGCCGGGCAGCGGGCTGTGGCGAGGCTCCTCTTGATGATGTCGTTGACTTCTTCATGTCTTGCGATTTTACCCTGTGATTTACGACATACCAGACCATGACGACCATATTGGTCTGCCATCGCAGTTCCGCAGATGCACCTATGTTCGGTGAGGATCGGGGCGGCAAGGCGAAGGGCAACTCCAATGCGGAGAGCGTCATGACTGAGGCATATATATATATATATATATATATATATATATATATATATATATATATATATATATATATATATATATATATGTCGTACCTAATAGCCAGAACGCACTTCTCAGCCTACTATTCAAGGCCCGATTTGCCTAATAAGCCAAGTTTTCATGAATTAATGTTTTTTCGTCTACCTAACCTACCTAACCTAACCTAACCTAGCTTTTTTTGGCTACCTAACCTAACCTTACCTATAAATATAGGTTAGGTTAGGTTAGGTAGGGTTGGTTAGGTTCGGTCATATATCTACGTTAATTTTAACTCCAATAACAAAAAATTGACCTCATACATAGAGAAAAGGGTTGCTTTATCATTTCATAAGAAAAAAATTATAGTAAATATATTAATTCAGAAAAACTTGGCTTATTAGGCAAATCGGGCCTTGAATAGTAGGCTGAGAAGTGAGTTCTGGCTACTAGGTACGACATATATATATATATATATATATGTCGTACCTAGTAGCCAGAACGCACTTCTCAGCCTACTATGCAAGGCCCGATTTGCCTAATAAGCCAAGTTTTCCTGAATTAATATATTTTCTCTACCTTTTTTCTTATGAAATGATAAAGCTACCCATTTCATTATGTATGAGGTCAATTTTTTTTATATTGGAGTTAAAATTAACGTAGATATATGACCGAACCTAACCAACCCTACCTAACCTAACCTAACCTATCTTTATAGGTTAGGTTAGGTTAGGTAGCCGAAAAAGTTAGGTTAGGTTAGGTTAGGTAGGTTAGGTAGTCGAAAAAACATTAATTCATGAAAACTTGGCTTATTAGGCAAATCGGGCCTTGCATAGTAGGCTGAGAAGTGCGTTCTGGCTACTAGGTACGACATATATATATATATATATATATATATATATATATATATATATATATATATATATATATATATATATATATATATATATATATGTCGTACCTAGTAGCCAGAACTCACTTTTCAGCCTACTATGCAAGGCCCGATTTGCCTAATAAGCCAAGTTTTCCTGAATTAATATATTTTCTCTAATTTTTTTCTTATGAAATGATAAAGCTACCCATTTCATTATGTATGAGGTCAATTTTTTTTATTGGAGTTAAAATTAACGTAGATATATGACCGAACCTAACCAACCCTACCTAACCTAACCTAACCTATCTTTATAGGTTAGGTTAGGTTAGGTAGCCGAAAAAGTTAGGTTAGGTTAGGTAGGTTAGGTAGTCGAAAAACAATTAATTCATGAAAACTTGGCTTATTAGGCAAATCGGGCCTTGCATACTAGGCTGAGAAGTGCGTTCTGGCTACTAGGTACGACATATATATATATATATATATATATATATATATATATATATATATATATATATATATATATATATATATATATATATGTCGTACCTAGTAGCCAGAACGCACTTATCAGCCTACAATGCAAGGCCCGATTTGCCTAATAAGCCAAGTTTTCATGAATTAATATGTTTTCTCTAGTTTTTTTCTTACGAAATGATAAAGCTACCCATTTCATTATGTATGAGGTCAATTTTTTTTTATTGGAGTTAAAATTAACGTAGATATATGACCAAACCTAACCAACCCTACCTAACCTAACCTAACCTATCTTCATAGGTTAGGTTCGGTTAGGTAGCAGAAAAAGTTAGGTTAGGTTAGGTTAGG